AGAACGTATGAAACCGATTGGCCTAAAGTCTTGCAAGTATTTCAAGGTTAAAATCTTGAGAGGTTTTTCGGACGTCGGGTACTTTCACTTTTTAATTGTTGCGACAATTATTTGGTTTGTGTGGTTAAAATTTTACGAGGTGGAAAAATTGCTCAAAGGTTGTTTCGACAGAACTTCCCTCGCCCCTGAAAAAAATTATAAAAATGTTGCGATTTTTTCGAGTTTTTAGCTTTAAATTTATTGGTTTTTCAATTTTCCAACTTTTGAATTTTTCAATTACATATTCGGTTCTCGATGTTTCGATTTTATTTTTTGTTTTTTCAATTTTTCCTTTCTTCAATATTTCGCTTTAAGATTTTTATATTTTTCTCGACGTTTCATGACCCCTTCAGTACGAAAAAAGTAATCTTCCGTTTCCGTCTCTTTGTTTGTGTGTCTTTATCCATTTTTATTAGACACGTAATCTCCGAAACTGCTAGACCGATTGTTGTCAAATTTTGTAGGTATGTTAGAAATATCATGTAGATTGTAGGTGGTTAAATGCTAGCCAAAATTTTAGAGAAACATGTATTTTGCAATTACGCTCCGCCCCTCGGTCTAATAACGAATGGAAAATTTATCACAAATGAGACAGGGTCGGGTGGGTGGGGCTTAATTTTTGTTTTTGTTTTTTTCATATATAGAGTTTTCTTTCAACAAACGATAGTTAAACAAGTTTTAAGTTTTTTGTTAGGAAAAGAAGACTTCGTATATTAAGAAAAAATGGACCAAATATAAGCCCCGCCCACCCGCCCGTTCCCAATTGTGATGAATATTTTATTCATCGTGAGTTGAAGGGCGGAGTTAAGTTGTAGTGATGAATTTTTCATTCGTAATCAAACCGAAGGGCGGAGTTTAATTGTAACATCAATATTTCTCTAAAAAATGATATCCTTGTAAAAACTTAATTCATATAGTAATTTTTTGTACAGAAATGAGAATTTTGTAACTAAACTCCGCCTTTCGGCTCACGATGAATTCATCACAATTGAGAAGGGGTGGGGCTTATATTTTGTTCATTTTTTTTCTTAATATACGAAGTCTTCTTTTCTCAACAAAAAACTGACAATATGTTCAACTATCCTTTGTTGAAAGAAAACCCTATATATGTATTAAAAAACAAAACAAAAATTAAGCCCCACCCACCCGCCCCGATCTCAATTGTGATGAGTTTTTCATTCCTAATCAGACCGAAGGGCGGAGTTTAATTGTAACATCAATATTTCTCTAAACAATTCTATCCTTTTAAAAACATATTTCATATGGCAATTTCTTGTAGAGAAATGAGGATTTTGCAGCTAAACTCCACCCTTCGACTCACAACGAATAAAGCATTCGTCACAATTGAGAAAGGGTGGGTGGGCGGGGCCTATATTTTATCATTTTTTTTTTAATATAGGAAGTCTTCTTTTCCCACAAGAAACTGACAATATGGTCAACTATCCCTTGTTGAAAGAAAACTCTATGTATTAAAAAAAAATCAAACAAAAATTAAGCCCCACCCACCCGCCCCGGTCTCATTTGTGACGAATGCTTTATTCATCGTGAGCTGAAGGGCGGAGTTTAGTTTCAAAATTCTCATTTCTCTGCAAGAAATTACCATATGAAACTCATCACAATTGAGATTGGGGCGGGTGGGTGGGGCTTAATCTTTGTTTTTTTTTTAATGTATAGTTTTCTTTGAACAACAAGAAAGTTAAACATGTTTTCAGTTTCTTGTTGCCAAAAGAAGACTTCGTATATTAAGAAAAAATGAACAAAATATAAGCCCCGCCTACCCACCCTTTCCCAATTGTGACGAATGTTTTATTCATCGTGAGCTGGAGGGCGGAGTTTAGTTGCAAAACCCTAATTTCTCTACAAGAACTTACCATATGAAACTCATCACAATTGAGATTAGGGCGGGTGGGTGGGGCTTACTTTTTATTTTTTGTTTTTTAATATTTAGAGTTTTTTTTAACAAAGGATAGTTAAATATGTTTTGGGTTTCTTGTTGCGAAAAGAAGACTTCGTATATTAAGAAAAAATGGACAAAATATAACCCTTTCTGGCTTAACTGTAACGGAAAATAAAATTGATTTGTTTATAATTTGGTTATTACAAAAATACGATTTCGTCTTCGACTGGCCGTTTGTTGACACATATGACCCCGAGATTGTGCAAAATACAAAATTGGCCACTTCCGGGCGTTCCATTAATTTATGACTTGCAGCCAGGCAGCTTGTTTGCAGTATTGTTTCTCATTCTTATTTTGTTTTTTTTATCGTTCATAAAGTATACCGCATACTTTTGAAATTATTGCATTTGCATTCACATTTTGTCGATTTGCTTATACAGGGTGATGCAAAAAAATTAATGACTCAATTTATTTTATTGATTCAGTCAAAAACGGCTCACTCGTAGCATGCTTTTTTACATTTACTTTACCATTACATATTTACATATATTTATTTCAACTTATCCGCAAAATCAAATTTTATAATTTTTCGAAAATGTTGTATGACCGAGGGAAGTTCTGTCGAAACAATTTTCGGCCAATTTTTACAATTGCTTATACAGGGTGATTCAAAAAAACTTAATTAATTGGTCAATTTATGTTACTGATTAAATCAGGAACTACAAAATCGAAAGCTTTGAAATCTTGCAGGCATTTAAAAGTTATCACGAGCACCGTAAAGTTTTAATCAAAAGACGTCTGTTTATCCCCAACAAAAAATTGATGACGTCATCCTAAAATTTTGCCGGATAAATCCTATTTGAAATGTGCACAATATGATGACTCTATATGTGTGACTTACCGTTGTATTTATTTTAGAATTGCTTATACAGGGTGCCTCAAAAAATTTAATGAATGAATTAATGATTTAATGATTATGACAACCGATATTGTTTGAAATTTATTTATTCATTTCCTATAGGAAGTTAATGACGTAATCTCAAAAACCGGTTCCATGGCAACGACAGTTCAAATGTCATAATTTTTCTCCCGATGGCATATTAAACATATTAATTGAGACTTTTAAAAAACGTCCCTGGAAGTAAGAAACATTTTGCTTTTATTATTAAATAAGATATAAATGATGTTATTAAACAGATGTATAAAGATAGGTTTTTTAGATAATTAAAAATGCATATAAATAATGTTTAAGTCCAGAAATCGCAAATTTGCCTATTGCATATTTGGTGGATGCGCCGGGAAAATAATTATTTTCAGTGGATTTTGTCTTTTTAGTTATTGCTACAAAAATGTATAGTTTACATTGTACAATAATAATAGATGTAAAGTAAAATTTGGGCAGGTAATATAAAATTTAATACCGTTTTAATAATAAAATACAAAAACGTGCGCGTAAATAAATAAGAAGCTCATGTCGTAAAACAGATTTTTATTGCTTTTGATAAATAAATTCAGGCTGTTGTAAACAATGTTGTTTTTTGCTTCATGTATTTGTTATTGCTTTAATGTCTTAATTTATTCACTTAAATTAAACTATTTTTTAATTGTCAGATATTTTGTTTTCAGTTTTTGTTTAGCGGAAACGGAAGTTTTGTTGTTTTTAATGTTTTTTGTTGCAATATAACGCCAACAGAGTCTACCTTCTGACCCATTTATAGCAATCGCACGTTATGTAGAGTCAAGAGGAGTGAAATTAATTTTAGAAATTTCGATTGGAAAACTTGTAAAATATTTTCCAATATGAAATTCTCGATTAATTAAACCGATCGTGCTTATGAGAAATAAAGGAGGAATGGCAGAAAAACGCTTTGCGTTGTTAGGCATCAACGCAACAGGTCTACTCCGGGGTGTAAAGGCCTAGACGTCGCCGTCGTGTCTGTCGTATAAGTTGACCGAGTCTTCGCTCATCGTTACAAATCTAAAAGTACAAGTACATTTTAGTTATAGATGTGAATTTGAGTGACAAGAAGCAGACGCTTGCGCGGTTGTCGCATCTTGTAACCAGGTGGCGCGCTCGCGAATCCCTGCATCCTGGAGCCACCCCCGCAACAACACTAGTTCTCTGTCGGCCTTCCAACCGCTCGGACGCGCCACCCCCAGCAGCCAGACGCGGTGAAATTACGCTCCAACCAGGCGACTCGTCGCAAATTTTTCCTTGGTCCGGGATAGGGTCCCGAATTTCTTCTAAGGCAGTTTTAAGAGATTTTCATGTTCGAATGGAGTGGGCAGTTGGCATGTAAACAATGAATACTAGTAGCATGTACGCGCTTTTGCTGTTGCTGCTTTTGGTCGTCGAAGACGGCTCTGGGTTCGATGTCCAGGCGAACATTAGGCACGGCCGATCTAGGATGAAGCTCTTGCGAGGCAGACGGCACGAGGAAAGAGCGGCCCCGACCGAGGCGGTGCTGGAGGCCCCGATGGCCACCGAGAGGCCGGCGGCCGACGACGCCGTCGGCAGGGCGAAAAGCAATAAGAGCGAGGTCAGTGGGACCAAGTCCGGGCGCAAGGTGACCGTGGGGTCGGCTTTCGGGAACAGTAGCTGGCAGCATGTGGACAAGAGCATGCTGTACATGGGCGAGCGGGCGCTTAATCAAATCGATAACAAAAAGAAAAACAAGACGGCGAGTGGCAAAGAGAAGGACTCGAAGAAAGGGGGCTCCGGAGAGTCAGGGCACGACGTAAACGCGCACGGTTCATTCGGCGAAGGAGATTTCGAAGAAGACGTGGAAATATCATCGGAAAAGGCAGCCACCGAAAGTGCTCGCAGCGGCCACGTAGACATCGTTACTCGTTTTTTACGCATCGTGGAATCCCAGCATTTGTTGGGCGAGAACTGCACGGCCGGCACCGACCTCAACCTGGGCGAAGGAGTAGTTGATCGTTATGCACAAGAAAGATTCCGCGTTGAAGCGGACGTTGCCGTAAATAGGGCTAATATGTTGACCCGTCTATGGAAATACGCCGACCCCGAGGTCGTTATGTCGGAGTATTTATTGCACGCTTCCGTTTTTTCTATGGTCGAGTTCGATAATGACATCTTCGCCGCGGGAAACTGCTATGACCAGTATCAGTACAAAGACTATTGGCTATTCTGTCCGTATGCTTATCGGCTGCCCGAGGGGACCATTCTGGTGAAAGATCTAGCCGTCGAGTACAAATATCTCAGCAACACATCGGAATGGTTCTACATCGCCAGAAAAAACGCCGAGAATGTCATCAGAAACTACAACCAATTCAGCAGAGGTAAGTCATCGGCTCCAGTAAAAGCGCCGCCTGATAAAATTACAAATATTGCGCCTGCCGGCTCCAGCAATACAGATTATCTTATTAGAGCAGACAGTTAATTCTCTCGCTATATTGGATTTGCGACGGAAATGTATTCCGTTTTTCGACGGAACGACCCACCGATAATTCACGCTAAAATTATTTTATTGCGTCGCTTCTGATGACTTTTTACTAATGTTACACAATACCTTACCGAAAGATTTGGTCTGATGTCGTTCAGTTGTCCGGAGATCAATATAAGGACCGGCTTACTGTGAGTTACAGCTCTACGTCCTATTTGGATTTTATTGTAATCGACGCCGATATTATTATATTTGCTTCTGTCAAAATTACGGTATAAAAATATCTTTTTCTACCATATTGGAAATTTCATCTCCCAAGGTGACCTCCATTTCTGCCCCACTTCATACTACATGTAGAGCAACATTATCATTTCTATTTTTCCATTTAAGCGCTTTATTTAAACACAAATTAATGTATACAAAAAATCTCGTTTCCAGGATAACGTAGTACGGATCGCGCGGGAGAAATTTCCCAACTTCAACTTTTAATTGAGGCCACCGCTGTGTGCCACTTATGCTACCTATTTAATATTTTAACACAATTACTCGTAAGTGAATGAAATTGCTAGGTATATTAGATCAAACTGAATATATTTCAAAATTATAAATAAAACTATTCAAGAAAATAACACTTTCCTGTTGAATTAAATGCATTCTGTAATGAAAAAGCCCATCAGCTATTTCTGTAATAATATTGATGAAGTAAAAAAAGTTACCACACTTTAGGGTCAAAGGAGAATTTAATTAGTTACAGTACTTTCAAATATGTAATAAGTCTAAGTGAAATCTTATTAATTTTTTTCGTGGAATGAGGCGTCTAAATAAATAGAAGTAGCTGAAACTCGAGACTTGATTAGAGTGGGGGAAACCTTTTAACGCAGCATTAAACACTTGTTGTATCGCGAAAGGTTATCAGGCTTACATTATCTATACACGACTATTCATTACACTGCTTTACATAGTTCTTCTTCAAAAAAGACAAAGCATTTATCTGAAGGATTTTGCAACCCTACTCGAAATCTGTTTTCAGAATTTACAAAAAAGGGTTTCTCGAAAGTGGGGAATTAACAAGTTAGGTTATGATTGTCAATTGTAATAGACAACGATATGGCAAAAAAATCCGCATGTTGTATTGCTTGTATTTCTATAATATCCCTTTAATGTTTTAAATTCATTATCAAGTGATATAAAAAAAATCTTTTTATGAGTTATTATAGAAAAAAATAATATACAAGGTGAGTTAAGTGAGTCAAAATTGTACGGCTCTAAAATTATTTTTAACTACACACCCTATATGTTTTTACATATTTTGAATGACCTATCCTCAAATTTACAATCACAGTTTATTTTTGAGATTCCGATGCGATGTTGCCACGTTATTCCAATTTTTTTGAATTTTTTTGTTAATGGAAAGGTCCGAAAACTACTATAATCTTCTTTTTTGCTCCCGTTCTTTTGTTGTCAAGTATTTTCTGTATTTAAAGTTGACATATTAAAAGAATAAGAACAGAAAAGTGGAGTAAGATACAGTAACAAAATACAGGCTGTCTTGTTTGAAACAACTGAAATATCCATATTTGAAAATTGTAAAGTTTAATTTTTTTATAGACACTCAGTATATTAAAACTTGCTTTAATTGACACCACAACAAAGCGCCTGTTAATACTTAATAAATCTTTGGAAACAGGGGTTTTCCATACAAAATGGAAAGAATCTAAGATCTGCTCTGTCTTGAAGTCCGGTAATGCAAAGTTGAAAATTACAGACCAATTTTCCTCCTTTCAAATTTTTCCAAAATTTTCGAATTAATTCCACATGATTATATCTCTCCTGTAGTGAAAAGTTATATATCAGAGCATGGTTTCTAAATCAACAACGACAAACCTTTAGCAAAAAAAAACATTTAATCAGTCTTATATTAGCAAGTACTAGCCCCGCCCACCCGCCCCTTATTTTTTTAGAGGGTATGTCATTCGCCAAAATCAGTCTTATCTCACCAAGTACTAGCCCCACCCACCCGCCCTCTCTTTTTTATTTTTTATTTTTTTATTTTATTGATTAACGTTACCCAACAGGCCAGAGGCCCAATTACAGGGTAACGGGGGACATACACAACACCCAGAGCATGGCGGGAATCGAACCCACGACCCAAGGTGTGGCAGGCAAGCGCGATGCTACCTAACCCACCCGGGTCCTTTCTTAGAGAGTATGTCCTTTGCCAGAATGAGTTTCATCTTAGCAAGTACTATCCCCGCCCACCCTCCCTCTCTTTTCTTAGAGAGTTTGTCATTCGCCAAAATCAGTCTTATCTTAGCAAGTACTAGCCAAATGTAAATTTTATCTAAATTATGCTGCAAAAACAAGCAGTTTTTGGAATTGTTAATTCTACTAAATAATTTATGTAAAATAGTTTTTATTTTAAATATGTAATTATAATTATAATTAAAAAAATCACATTTTCAGTTTTGCTATTTTAGAATTTTTCCATGTTCCTTATTGGTTTTTAAAACTTTTTAATTTTTTCGGTTTTTCATTCAATGTTCCGATTTTATAACATTTTGTTCTTTCAGTTTCAGTTTTTTAAATTTTGAAGAATTTTTCGATTTGTAATTTTTCATTTTTTTGTTTCTTCAATTTTACGATAGGAATTTTCATGTTTAAATTAGTTTTTCCATTCACCAACTTTTGAGTGTTTCAATTTTTGGATTTTTCGATTTTTCATTTTATCAATTTTTCAATTTGCAATTTTTGGGTCAGATTCGGTTTCTTGTTTTCTTCATTTTTCCAATTTTTCGGTTTTTTAATGTTGTGATTTTACATCTTTCCCATTTTTTTATGTGAAGTTTTTCAATTTTCGGATTTTTCAATTTCTCGATTTGCAATATTTCCGTTTTCAGTTTTTGAATTTTTAATTTTTCGTTTCTTCAATTTGTAGATTTGCAATTTTCCTAGTTTTCATTTTAAATGCAATTAACGAAACACATTTTCAATTTTGCGATTTTTTAATTTTTTCGATTTTTCATTCAAAGTTCCGATTTTACAATTTTTTGTTCTTTCAGTTTCGGTTTTTTAAATTTTGAAGAATTTTTTTATTTGAAATTTTTCAGTTTTTCATCTTTTTTTTGTTTCTTCAGTTTTTAGATTTTGCGATTTCACTTGTTCACTAGCAGTTTTTCCATTCGGATTTGCATTTTTAAACTTTGTCACTTTTCAATTGCCTGATTTTGTTAAGTTCCCTATTTTTCTATGTAAAACTTTTCAATTTTCGGATTTTTTTATTTTACGATTTGCAGTTTTTCGAATTTTCAACTTTTTTTGACTCTTTCAATTTTACGAATTTGGAATGTTTCCATTTTTCAATTATTCAATTAAAACTTTCTCATTTATTCCATTTTTCACTTTTCGATTTTTAATTTTTCAATTTTCCGATTGTAAAGTCGAAAAACTAACACTGAAATTACAATTTTGACGATTCTATAATTAAAAAAAAAATAGTAAATAGTTTTTTATAATTTAATTCAGTCTCTAAATAAATAAATTATGTGTAAAAAGCACCCGATTACTTAAATATTAAAATATCAGATTACAAGAAGTGGAAAAACCAATAAGAATTGAAAAGTTTGTCTTAAGTCATACAGAAATTCCCTCGTCCGTAAAGTCAGCCGAACAAATAGATGTTTTTCGAAAAGTTATAAAATTCAATTTTGCGAATTTTATTTTTATGACAACCTCAATAACTGAAAATGAAGATGTTATGCGTATGTTTCGAGTGACGTTTTTCATAACAAAATTTTGCGATCACGTCATAAAAATTTTAACAACGACAGATATATCGGTTTGAATAGATGCAGTGTAATATTAATAATAACAGTACTGTTTATTCACATTTTTCACAAAGACATTCGTTAATTTTTTTGAGTAATTCTAAAAAATGTAAATGCACTGATACTCAACATCTCAATATTTTGCACACTTTAGACAGAACTTATTCGGCAAAATTTCTAGATGACGTTATCAATTTTTTGTAAGGGGATAAACGGATAAATTTTGATAAAGATTTACCATGCGTACGATAAGCTTAAAACGTTTGCAAGGTTTAAAAGTATTCAGTTTTGCAGTTTCATAGTTAAATTGCACAATGTTGTTAAACAATTTTGATTTTGTTTTCCAAAAATCTGGAGTTTAGGGTAAAAGCTCAATATAGATTCACACACCATCAGTGCAAGAGTATCTTATTTTATAAAATTTCAATAACATTTACTATTGTATCTTAAAACGGTGGACCTATTTTTTGTATTCTAGAGCTCATGAAACGTCGAGAAAATATGAAAGTGTCGGGTCACCCGACGGACTCGATTACAATACTTTCTTAGTTTAGCTGACGCTCGAGAAGTAAAAATCAATTGATTTAAAGTCTGAGTCAAGCAAACGAAATCGGTAATATCAAAGTTATCAAAATATATTTTATTTTGTCATATTGTGTTCACAATTGAGAATAATAATGTTGGCAAGAGATATCAACAGTTGTTGCAACCAAGACAGCTACGTCAACATATATGTATAAGCTCAAATCGGTCTGTAGCCGCTCCAATTTCAACTCATTTCCGGTGGAAAATTTGGTGAGTTATGTTTTGATGTTATAATTGGCCATGATTAAAATTTTGATTGTGTTTATTTTAGTAATGGATATTTTAATTAAATATGCATGTGTTATGGTTAAATCTTGATGAAATTAAACTAAATGGACATATCCTATACGAATTGTATATACCGGATGATAAAGCAGAAAAACATACCGAAATATGAAAATGAGAAAATGTTATATATTTTTTATTATTTCAAAAAAAAAAAATTAACATAATATAATTATTAAAAATAAGTTAGCATTCTCTTTTG